CCAATTAATTTCTTTCTATTTAGAGTAGAGACGGGGTCTCACTCTTGCTCAGGCTGGTTTTGAACTCCTGACCTTGAGCAATCAGCCCACCTCGGCCTCCCAGAGTGCTAGGATTACAGGCGTGAGCCACCGCACCTGGCCGAGTTGCCTCTTTTCTTGATTCATCATTTGCTTGGTAACCTTTGACTAGTTGCCAGAGTTCTGACAATGTCTGCCCATTGTGTGTGGGAGGGTGTGTGTGCACATGCATGTGGGTGTGTGTTGCTGTGGAGGGATGGACCCTTGAACCTACTTATTGTGCCAATTTCATTGATGCCACCAACCCTCAGACTTCTGGCTAGCAATTTCAACAAAGTAACCACTATCCTCTTGAAACCTCTTGCCCCTTTGATACCATATCTCTCCCTGCCCATGCCCAATGCTGGTATTGAGTAATTCCCAGTACCTTCTTTCTCTTTTACTGGGCTACATGGGCTAGCAACACTGGAGAAAGTCAAAAACCTGTCCAGACTCTACAAACGATGCCTATCAACCCACCATAGCCAAGTCCTCCTCATTGCTTCCACACTAGTTTATTGATCACTTGTCAGTTTCCTAACAAATTCCTCACAGTGACTTTTACAAGCCTCGTCCCTCTTCCTCCAGGCCCTATCAGATCTACGCCTCTTGGAACAACTTTGAGGCCAACTTAAATGAAATACCTCAACTTCTCCCCCTTTAGCCTCTAAATCTCTTGAGATCATTAAACTCATTCTTTTTGATAATGAAAGAGGAGAACCACCTCTATCCAACACGAACTCCTCTACTTGTGCTCCTGAGTCACACCCTAGCTTCTTCCGCAGAAATGACACTCCTTATTTTGAATGCCCTCTTTCACCATATCTTTAGTCTCTCCTTCTCCACCAGCTATTTCCCTCTGCTCCAAAATTACTCAAAACTCTATTACCCTAAAGAGTAACTTTCCCTTATTCTGCCTTCTTCTCAAGATCCTGCCCTCTGTTTCTCCTACTTTCTCTTATTAAATCTTTTGAGACATCAGCCCCTACCCTCCTTCACACTGGACTTGTCTCACATTGAGCTAAAACAGCTCACTATATCCCTCCTTACTATACATAGGCTTAAGCCAGCTCCCCAGCTTAGAAACCTCAAAGTTTCTTCTGACTTTTCTCTCTTTTTCAGAATCAATATGGTCCGACTTCTCATCTCTCCTTTCTAAAACACTGCTTTCTTTATACCATCCCACTTCTCAGGCATACTCCATATTTCTTAATACTTTCCACAGTAAATCCCCCCACTGTTCAGGTGACCCTTCAAAACTTTCTGTATTCAAATTGCATTCTACTTAGCATTCACTGAGTTCCCTGGGCCAGGTTCTGGGGAAATAAAAAGCTGAGTAAGATATTATTCATATTTCCAGAAACTCATCATCCAACAGATGAAACATGTAAACAAATGTACCCTAAATTTCTGGCCTGAGATCCTCACCAGAGGATGGGCAAGACCTCAGCGCCACCTCCATGCTCTAAGTGGTACCCAGTGATGTCTGAGAGTCCCCAAGGGATGCTTCTCATGGGCCACCAAAGAAGCCTGCCAGCTGTAGCTACCCTGAGGTATCTTTCCAATTCTTTATCTCCTTTTCTAACTCTAGTTCTCTATTTAAGGGATGGACCCTTGGGGCTACTTGGATGCCCTGCCTAATCCCAAGAACATCAATATCCATTCCAAAAGTGCTGAATCAGGATGCTCCCCAAAAAAGCACCAGTGCTGATTCCAGGCAGAACAGAGAAAATGACCTCCTTGTGCCCTCTTGGCCACACCACATCACTTGGTCCCCAAAGCAGCTCTTCTTGTGTCCAAAGTCTCACAGAGGGTCTCTTGAACATTTTTGGAGCATCTGACTTTTACCATCCCTGAGCATCTTGGCACAAATCTAGTTTTATTTTTGGACCTGCAGGGAACTACTCTTATGACCTCATCCAACCTGCATTCCTTCTCCCTTTGCTCCACAACAAACTCCTTTCTCCTCCCACTGTACCACTGCAAAACCCCACAAATATAAGCAGAGGCAAATAGATATTTTAGCTCATCCTTGAAGCATAAATAGGAAGTTACCATGTATAAAAGGTGGGGCATGGGATTTTAGGCAGAGGGAACAGCAGTGCAAAGAAAGCAGGACATTCTTACAAGAATTACAAATAATTGAGCAATGGAGCACTCTATGTTTTCATTCAAAACCCTGGCACAATGTCATGTCCTGTGAAGTGTTCCCTGACAGCCCACAACTGTCCCTAGTCCATCATCGTCACAATTTGTGCTCCCATAGAGCACACACTTCTATCAATTCAACATTTATTGAGCTAGAAATTGTGCTAAATCCTAGGGATACAGAAACAATAAGCAGAATCCCTGCCCTCAAGATTATGGAAAAGAAAGGAAAACAATCGTGTATTATAACAAAGAGAAAGAAGTATGTGCTGTTGAGTGCGCAAGACGTAAGAGTTGTCATGAGGGCCATGCAGAGGTGAGCCCCATCTTGGTCAGTGCCCAACCCACTGCATCCTAACTAACTACTCATTAATCTGCCAGACTTCTCTGCCAGATAGATTGTGGACCCAGAGGACTGACGATGTCTTATTCATATTTGTATTCCATGCTCAGCCCAGAAACTGGTACAGAAAAGAGAATAAACGGAGTCTGAATGCCATGATTGCTAAGGTTTTATGCATTTATATTCATATAGCTGAACGAATGGTAAAAATGAATGACTTTTTAAATAAACTAATAATTGCAATCTATAAAAGCAAGGGACCTTACAGGAGTGTGCTAGGCAAGGGAGGAACAGCTCCTAATGAGTCCCTGGGCCACTGAGTAAGTCCAGATCTCTTACTAAGAGGAATTAATTGAACCTCAACCTTCTGGACAGAGAACCTCCAAGAGAGGGGATAGAGATGTGTCCATTCACTTAACAAATGATCACTGGATGCCTACTGTGTGCCAGGCACTGTTCAAGAATGTTCACAATGGTAAACAAGACAGACAAAAACCCTTGCTTTCATGGAGCTTACATTCTAGTGGAGAGGAGAGAGAATAAACAAAACAAACATGTAAATTATTAAGTATGCTAGATGGTTAAGTACCACAGAGAAAAACAAATCCAAAATCAGCTGGTTGTGCAAGAGGTGGTGGGGGGTGGTAGTGAGGAAAGAGTGGTCAGTGGTCACACTTATCCAAAGCCTCTCTGAGAGTGCCCATTTACATTAAAGACCTTATGGGGGCAGAAGAGGGAGTCGCATGGATACCTGGAGGAAGTGCATTCCAGGCAGAGGGAATTGCAAGAGCAAAAGCCCTGGCTTGTTCTACAAATAGCCAGGTGGGTGGGAGCAAAACTGAGCAAGGGGAAGAGTCATAGGAACTAGGTCAAAGAGACAGAAATGGCCATATCATTTTGGCAGTTATAAGCTGTTGTAATGATTTTGTTTTGTCTTGCTTTTGTTACCGTTTCAACTTTCTTTGCTGAAATACAAAGAGAAGAACTGTACAAATCCTAAGTGTCAGATCAAAGGATTTTCCTAAAATGAATAAATCTGTGTAGACAAACACAGACCAAGAAACAGGACATCATCAGCACCCCAGAATCCCTCCTTCACAGCGCTCCTGTGCTCTCCCCCGCTCCTCCTCAAGGGCAACCATTCTCCTGACTTGTAACAGCATAGATTTGCTTTACCTGTTTTTTAACTTTAAATAAGTGGAATCATACCATTGTAGTGTCTTGTGGTTTTTTTGTATCTGGGGGTTTTTTGCTCAGGATTTTGCATGTGACATTCACCCATGTGATTGCAAGAGGGAAAGGGAGTCAAGATGACGAATGACAGCATGTTCACATGCTGATGGGAAAGACGTAGTGCAGGGGAGGAACTGATGATGGCAGTGTCCACATGCCTGGAACCCATATGACAATCCAGCAAAGAGAGACAAAGAGGAAGCTCAGCTAGGAGCTGAGTATCAGGATCTGCCCTACTTGGCTCCTCTCCTGAGAAATAAGAGATCCCGAGAGAGCTAAGGCCATGGTTATGGTTATGTGTTCATTGACCCACTGGAATGTTTCCACAGACCCCACTCTGTGTCAGACACCGGGCTGAGTGCTGAGACGCAAGCATAATTAAGATATCATCAAACAAACAAGTAAACACAGCAGTATAGAACGCTGTGATAATTGCTAAGAATTTGAGAAAGGATGCTAAGGGAAGCCCCTTCTTTAAGAATCATCGTGACCATTTCACCTTTTTTGCTCAAACATCGATGGCTCTGAGAGAGGCTCACAAGAATGTGGCCATTATATGTTACTTTGAAATTATATTAACTATTTGTGTATTTATCAGTTTTATTTTCTCAACTATTATGCTATAATCTTTTTGAGAGTACAGAAGATATCTTCTGGTATCATGAAAAGAGCACAAAGTAGTTAGAAGATCTGGGTTTGAATCTTGACTCTGCTATTTGTTGGCTGAGTAATCCTGGGAAAAATAGTTAACCTTTCTGTTTCTCAGTTTCTTTATTTATAAATGGAGATAATAATACCCATCCTGCCTGTCTCTCAGAATTGTCAGCATCAATGAAATCATGTATAAGAAGAACTGTATATGCCACAAATCCCTGAGGTTAGTCCCTGTTATTAGTCTTCTAAATTGCACAAGCCTACAATGTTGGACACACAGTAGGTAATCAGTAAATGTCAGGCTTTAATTATACTACATCAGCAATGACTGACAGTTTTTGGAGTCGGTAGTTTGCTGTCCCCTGCAGCCTAATGCCCTAAGAATTCAGAGGCTGGGTCACAGAGTATGGTCATGAGCCAGGAGGGAACAGCCAGTATGGGAGGGTGGACTGAGCCGGGAGGGACCATCTGAACCAACAGTGCATTAACCAAGAGTACCAGACATTTTGTCGGGGATAGAGCCCACCAGGGACAGTTTTAAAACCTTTTCCTTCTGTGTTTACAGGGCATGTAGTTTCACAAAACAGCTTAATCCCATCGACGGTGAATGGAGTTCTGGGGGAGTCAGTAACTCTTATCTTGAAGTTTCCTGAAGGAAAGAAGGTCAGTGCCATCACCTGGCTTTGCAATGGAACATCTATCGCCTTCATAAATCTAAATGAAGCCAAAAGTCCATTCATCCAAGTGACTGATCCAAAATGGAGAAAGCGACTGAACCTCACCCAGTCCTACTCCTTGCATCTCAGCAACCTGACGATGGCAGACACAGGATCTTACAGTGCCCAGATGACCACAGAGGCCTTTGCAACACTTTCCAGCTACACTCTGAGGATCTTCGGTGAGTCTAAATGTGGGGTATGATTATATATGGACTAAAAAACAATAATACATTTCAATCCCATGTGACTGTACGTGTGGTAGAGTATAGCATTAGAGTATGGTGGTAGAGTATAGCATTTGGAGTCAGAATGCAGCCCAGCAGTGAAGCAACCCTATGACACAGCACAGCCAGTTAGGGACATAGCTGACAATAGAACCTAAGTCTTGTGACTCCCGGCCCAAAATCACCTCACTCCCCCTCACCCAATAAAATGATCCTTTTCAACTAGAAATGTAGCAAAAGTAATGGACGTGAACTATTCATGATACAACTATCATGTGTATTGCATGCATCTGCCACATAATCTTCACAAAAGTTCCATGAGACAGACACAATCCTTACCCTTGAGGCACAGCCTCAGTCACGGTAACTTGCCTACAGTCGCAGAGGTGCCAGCACCTCCCGCAAAACCACCCTGTCATGGTACCTCCCTTTACACAAATGCTAGTCTGACCCAATAAAATGGTCTGTGTACAGCACAGTAGTCTATCTAGAAAGTTTTCTGGAAGAATGAGCTGATAAAGAGAAATGTCTTTCCTGCCAAAGTTATTTAATGTCTAACAATATTTTCCCTCAGACAGCTCATGTTGATTCCTGGTCAAAACTCTGCCTCCCCAAGATTAAAGAATGAAAATATCTACAATGTAAAATTATGGAAACTATGATGAGATAGCTTCTGAATCAATACCAGAAAAAAAAATCTTTCTGGCAATCAGTGATGTTCAGAGATGCCATGAGTGGCTTTGGGACAATCCCTTAGCAGCAACGTCGTAGGATAAATCCAAGCATTAATTTGGCAATCAGATGACACAACATTAAAGGCCACCGAGATTCCATAATTCTTATCTGTTAGAGAGTCCATGGTGTCTAAAATTCACTCAGAGTTCTTTGGGTTAAAACATGGTATCCCTCAAAATCACTGTTAAACTAAAATGTCTCCACAAATGGATTACATGTTACCCCTGAGGATTTGACAGATTCACCATGTTAGATTCGTCAAAGTCACATCCTTGAAAGAACAAGACACAGAACAGGTAAATGTGGTGGGAGAGAGAGGGTGTCTGGAAAAGTTCTGTACAAGAGATTCCAACAAAATGGGCAAAATCACCCTGGGGCAATTTCCTGAGGCTGCTGAAACAAAATGCCACAAACCAAGTGCCTTAAAACAACAGAAATTTATTCCCTCACAGTTCTGGCCAGAAATCCAAACTCCAGGTGTGGGCTGGGGCCTGGGGCACAATGTGTTCTTTGCCGCTTCCAGCTTCCGGTTGCTGTCAGCATTCCTTGGTGGTCTTGGGCTTGTGGCTGCATCATTCCAGGCTCTGCCTTCATGGTCACATCTTCTCTGTGTTTTCTCCTCTTCTGTCTGTCTCAAATATCCCTTTGCTTTTCTCTTATAAGAACACGTGTCATTGGATTTAGGGCCCACTCAGATGATCCTGGCTGATCTCCTCATCTAACTTGATTCTATCTGCAAAGACTCCTTTTTCCAAATAAAGGAATGTTTAGATTCTGGAAAATACATGGACATGTCTTTTGTGGGGTCGTCATTCAACCCACTACAGGTAGGATCATTCTGGGTGACCAGCCAACATCAAGACAGTGCCAGGACACTGAGAGATGAAAGAAACATGCAGTGGAAATCCTGAGACTAGACTCCATATCAGGCTCCATCACACTAACTGAGACAATGTTCTTCTGATGCTATTGAGAAGACCAAGCATGATTTCTCCTGCAGTAGCCACACTCACGAGGTTCAATGTCAATGGCTTTCAAAGGCACATACCTCTTCTTCAAAGGCACATACACAGATGTGTAAGCTATACCAACTAGCTTTACAATAGTGCAAAGGGAAAAAAAATAGTGCAAAGGAATTTCAAGTTACGAACTATGTAGGTTTTAAAAAAAAAAAAAAAAAACATTGACCAATCTCTTAGTCTATGCCAGGATAGGAATGGTAAAGATTTGATTTTATGAACCAATACCAATTGACTGGGAGTGACTGCGTAGAGTTCAGTGTTAAGAAAGATGTTGAAGCCATGTAAAATTTATTCATAGAGCCTTTGGGGTCACAGACGATGTACAAGGTACTGTTCTAGGCACTTGGAATACATCAGTGAGCAAAACAAAGATCCCTGCCTTCATAGAGCTGGCATTCTAGATGGGAAGTAAGGCAGGCAATAAACGATACCCATGATAATAAACAAGTGACACATGGTATGTAAGGAAGCCGTGAGTGCTTCTCTCCCCTCCCACTTCTCCCAAGGGCCACCCTGTCCCATGCTGATGTCTCTCATCATCGGGCTGTCCCAGACCTTGCTACCATCAATTGGGCAATAGAAGCAGAGTCAGTTACGGAGTCTGCAGCCCATAACATACAGCAAAAGTGGAATACAAAAACATCGAGGGGAAGGATTTGTCACAGAGGACTGAGCCAAGCCTTTTGTCCTTAATCGGTCTTTTTTTCTCCACACAGAAAAACTGAGGAACATAAACATTACCAGCCACAGTGAACTATCCGGGAATAGGACCTGCGAGATACACCTGACCTGCTCAGTGGAGAATCCAGATGACAATGTCTCATTCAGGTGGCAGGCCTCAGGAAACATACTTCGAAAGGAACCGAACCTCACTATCTCCTGGGACCCCCAAAATTCCAGTGAACAAAAATACACCTGCATAGCTGAGAACCCCATTGGCAATTTATCCTCCTCTGTCTCTGCCCAGAACTTCTGCAAAGGTAACAGGCTGCCCAGGTCTCTCTGAGAGCCCTGAGCCTCTGTGGGGTGTAGCAGGTCCTCACATTCTACGTGATTTCCAGTACAGTGGCCCAGTGGGAGGCAGCCGCTGCTGGGAGGGGACAGATGCCCTCTGGAGCTCTGTGCCTCTCGTGGCTCCCAAAGGTCTCCCTTCTCCCTCCATCCCTGCCCCCCCCTGCCCCCGCCCCTCCCCCAGCCCACGGGCAAAGGCTTCAGGAAGGCAGGGGTGCTTTCTGCCCCGGACTCCACTGGGCCCCACCCTGCCCTGCTTGCTACATGGGACTCCCACTCCCTGAAAGCCTGCCTGCCCAGAGCGCCAGAGCCTCTGGGTGTAGACAACCCACACAGCCCCCATAGGCTCCAAGAAGAGGCTCCATGAAGGCCTCACACAATGTGTCTCAAGGGCCACTTCTCTGTTCTCTTTTCAGGTTTTAATAAAAATCCACATGCAGGTATCATACGGACTACGGTGATTGTGGCTACTGTGCTATTCATAGTCTTCATTGGGCTGTGTTTATTCTTTGTTTGCAGGGGGAAAAAAGGCAGGTTTTCTTTCTTGCAACTTGTCTGTTCTCCAAAGTTCTAGGGGATTTAGGGTCTGGGGCCTCTGATTCCCAAGGATCTCTTGTGGAGCACGGGTGAAGGGAGGAAGGATGCCAACCCTGGCTCAGCTGGTCCACTAGGATGACCCCTGGGGTGAGACCGCGCACCTGCTAATATCCTGAGGGAGATGTCCCACTGGGAAAGGCAGGATCCTACCTCAGGGCTGCCTGTCCTTCTTTTGGAGTCCCTCCTGCCACATCCTCTAGAGAGACTCCCATGGGGTGGGGGGTGGAAGTCCTCTCTCACTGTAGTCACACATTTCAATGTTCTGATTTCATCTTTCAGGTTCCCATTATTGGTCTCCACGGCAAGGCCAGGGTCCCGGTGAGCATGCGGATTCTTAACTCCCAGTCACAGAGCAGATGGGAGGAGCCAAATGGAAGAGGAAGGGGGATGGCAAAGGGCTGGATACTGAGAAAGGAGAGAGTCAGAATGTCAGTACCCAGACAGACTACATGGTGCGAGGGGAGCTGATCTGTAACCGTGGGACTTATAGGGTCCCTCACAAGCATGCTAACTGGTCACTCACAGTTTCTCATGATGAGATCAGGGTCACTGGCCGCCCTGCCGATGAATAAGCTAAGTGCCAGTGAAAGGGCTGGTGCACTGCCACCCAGCAAGTACAGGGCAGACACAGGACTAGAGCAGCAAAGGCACAAAACCAAACTGCCTGGCTGCATCACTACTGTTCACCCAGGATGTAGGCAATGGATAGACACAGTCTAAAGAGACAGTGTGATCTAGAGCCCCAAACACAGGCTCTGGACTCGGATTGGCTTTGAGTCTCATTTCACAGATGAGTGATGCATGACATCACTTGTACAGGAAAGGGCATGAGCTCTAGTCAGAAGACACACGTTCAAGTTCCTGTTTTATCACGTCCTGTGTGACTATGCACAAGTCAATGGAACTTTCTGGGCCTCCAGTTCCTCATCTCTAAAATAATCAAATCCAACTCTAGAACCTCTGAAAAGTTTAGTAACATCCCATGTGTGAGATAATTGGCTCCATTCTGGTCACCAGCGAGGTATCTCTGGCTCTTCTGTAGGCAGAGCTGTTTGGTCCCAGAAGCTTCCTGACCCACACATAGGAAGCTTCAGGGACACTCTGAAGCTTTAGGGTACTTCAAGAGCACTCCTGACCCCAAGAGATCAGAAATAGACCACATGACTGAGAAGGTTCTGTCAACCCAGACATCCAAAGACTGTCAAAAATGAATGAACCCAGTGGAAGGGTGATGCTTCAAACAACTGCCTATTTGGGGACAGAAAGTGCTCTGGGGAAGGCGAGGTGCTGGGAGAGCAGCCCAGAGATCTTCTGCCACTGAACCTGCCTTCCTGTGTTAACCGCAGAGTCCACGAGGAACACAGAGAATGTTTCCGTCTCTCCAGCCAGCAGCACTGTGTATGCTTCAGTCACTCATCCCAACAGGGTGAGTCTTTCCGCTTCATACTCCATTACTGCCATTTTCAACAGTCATTATTCATAAATTTGTCACCACCGTCGTCTGATGGATCAAATGACCTACACCACTGAGAGGAGGAGAAGGCAGCCACAGGGGCTGCAAAGTTCCACGCAAGACCATTCTAGTGCCCGCCTTCTGGTTTGCTCCTTTTGCCCAAGGGGATGTTTATTGACACCCTGCTTTACGCTGTTCTCTAACTGCTTGATGCATCTGCACATCTCTTCAGCTTAATTACAAGCTGTCTAGAAGTGCAAATTATGTCTTCCTCTCTCTTCCCCTATATCCTAGCAGGACACTAAGTAAAGACTTGCTGAATAGATCAGAGTTCCGTTAAGTTTGAAAGTTTCCTAAGGAGATAGCTCTATGGCAGGGGGCTGGCTCCTCACTCTGGATGTGGCGGCGTAGGGCGTTAGAGGACCTCAGAAGTAGTTTCTCAAGAGGGGAAGTGGGCAAGAATTTGCAACTCCTCCGCAGTACCAGCCACTAAACCATGAGAAGCCCTCACTCCTCCCCTCCCCTCTAGCAACATAACAGGATGGCCTTGGTCATGCATCAGCAACTCCCCACCACCCCTAAATAAACCACATGCAGGTGGCACGATTCTAAATAATACTATACATGCTGGGAGGCCAGTTTTCATGTCTTGTGAAAAATAAGCCAAGAAAACTGGCATTTTCCAAATGATGGAAGCATTGATCTGGCTATAAATCTTGGATTCCCCAAGCAAATCTCCCCTCCCACAGCCTCTCACAGGAATCTGTGAAGTACGCTCCTTGAAATTCCTCTTGAATTTGCTGAAATGAATTCAAATTCAAATCAAGTCTGAATCACTGTCCAGTTATTGTACTTTGGAGAGTTTCTGAGGTCTTGATAATTCTTTAAATATTCCTTAATTAATTTAAAGTGTCGAAAAATTTGAGCAGGTTCTTTGAGGGGCATGGGGAATTCCACTGTTATTACTGTTCTGTGTATTCCAGGCAGCACCATGCTTAAGACCAAGTGTTCCTATTCTACCAGTTCTCCAGGCTTGAGGAGGCCACAGTGACATGGTGACCAGGCAGTTAGAATTGTAGTGAAAAATGAAGCAGGTGAAATGGCAGCTCTAGTTATAGCTAGTAACAATCTGAGACAAAAGATATGATAGCCATTTGATATATAAGTTCGTTCTTTAAGATGGAGGAAGGAAAGTAGAGTTGGATGTAGGACAAGAACAATTCCTTCCCTTCCTACAACAAGGCTGCCTTTCTGTCTCTCTCTGGTCCTTGATCCCACTGGTTTGCTGGAGTATTGCTCTTCTATATGAGGTTCAAGAAATGCCACTAAACCTTCACAAGTCTGAGAGCTGGTGGTGCCTGCTCTTCTGCTAAATGTGCCCTGTCCTTCCGCCCAAAGAACTTTGACATACTACCTTTCCTAACTTTTCATCACACTACCTTTCCTAACAATATATCTACCGTGTTTCCCCGAAAATAAGACAGGGTCTTATATTTATTTTTCCTCAAGAAGACACCCTAGGGCTTATTTTCAGGAATGTGTTATTTTTTTTAAGTATGGTACAACAATCTACATTTATTCAAATATAGTTAAGTCGTCTTATTCTGGAACATCATCATAACTCTCCAGACACCGAATTCCATCCTGAATTTCTTGCAACTCTATTTCCTTTAGAACCATTGGCCCCAATCTCTCATGTTGAGCAATAGAGCTCTCATGGGGCAGATGAGAAGGGCTGCTTCTTTACCACTCTGCGACAAAACACATGGGTTGTGCAGATGCGCTGCATAGCCACGCCCATCACTAGGTCTTATTTTCGGGGTAGGGCTTATATTGCGCAAATGCTTAGAAATCCTGCTAGGGCTTATTTTATGGGTAGGTCTTATTTTCTCGGAAACATGGTATGTATGGATTTTTTTGTTTCTGTGTAAACCAAACGGGTATGACTCTTTTTACAGGAAACAGAAATCCCAACACCTATGAAAAACAATGATTCTGTCACAATTTACTCTACAATTAATCATTCCAAACAGGTAAGCCCATGATTGCCCTACGTTCTTACATTCTTACCTTTCTCTTCAGGCTTGTGATTTTGCAAATAAAGCAAACCTAAAAGGGTCATTTCACAGATGCACAAATAACAGCAGGATACAGAAAGTCTCAGGACATCACCAAAACATATTCAAAAAGTCGTCTTGTATGAGGGTCACCATGCAAATCTGAGTTTTCAACCTTCCTGTTTTTTAATTTAATCCTACTTTATCTTATCAGTGTTCCTACTCACTGCCTATTGGTGTTCTTCTGTCCTCTTTCTGTAGCCATGATGGGTGGGTTGAGGTTCCGGTCCCTATTTAACTACTTAATCTTTCTCTTTTACCCATAGAGTAAACCCACTTTTCCCAGGGAAACTGCCTTTGACAAGGTCATATAAGTTTCTGAAAGGTCTCAAAGGAACTCGAGAATGATACATCTTCTCCTGATCCCATGGAGAGGACAAAGAGCAGGAAGCTTGAGTTTGTGCCTGGCAACAGAATCTGAATATCTAGGATTATCACCTCCAGTCCTTCAGACTTGAACCTGCTTACCTAGGTCATATACCTAAGGATAACATCATTTCCAGCATGTGATCCAAATATTTTCCAGTCCACTCTGGACCAAAACATGCTTCAGATAACACAACTGAGTACTGACTTTCTCTTTGGTAACTGAACAAATGGAATTATGGTTGACAGAGAGATTATGGATTTCGGATTTTTGGATTTGGTGTGCTCAACTTGTACAACATTTACCAGACATACCACCTGAGACATATTACCCAACCTCTTGGAGCTTTTGTCTCCTAAACTGAAAAAAACGGGAGGATGGTAATACATCAGCTCCATTGCTCAAGCCAAGAATCTAAGTCATACTTGACTCCAGCTTCTCTATCACCAGGCCCTTTGGACTCTACCTCAAAAATATATCCTGGACCTGTCTATCCACTTCTCTCCAACCCCTTGACCACCATCCTGTATCCAGTCATCACCACCTGGAACCAACAACAACCTTGGAACAGCTCTCCCCACTTTTGCTCTTGTCCCCTTTCAATCCATTCCCCACAAGATAGCCAGAGTAATGTTTTTAATATAAAGCAGGTCTTTCATTTGCCTGCTAAGGCCCTGCAGTCTTCTCATTGCACTCAGAGTGAAATCCAGTCTGCATGACCTTGGATAGTCTGACCGATCTCCAGACTCAGCTAGCATCACTTTCCCCACACCCCCTCTATTTAGGCTTCTTGATCGTCTTTCAGCTCCTCTGTTACAGGAAAAGCTTCTCTATATTAAAGTCATTTACATCTGCCTGAAGGCCCTTCCCCTGCCTGCTGGGTTCCTCCTTATTCTTTACCCATAGCTTAAATATGTCACGTCTTAAGAGAGACTTTCCCAAACTTCTTTATCTAAAATGGATCCCTGGCCGGGCGCAGTGGTTCATGCCTGTAATCCTAGCACTCTGGGAGGCCAAGGCGGGGAGGATTGCTCAAGGTCAGGAGTTCAAAACCAGCCTGAGCAAGGGCAATACCCCCGTCTCTACTAAAAAATAGAAAGAAATTAATTGGCCAATGAAAAATATATAGAAAAAACTAGCTGGGCATGGTGGCGCATGCCAGGAGTTCCAGCTACTTGGGAGGCTAAGGCAGGAGGATTGCTTGAGCCCAGGAGTTGGAGGTTGCTGTGAGCTAGGCTGACGCCATGGCACTCTAGCCCAGGCAACAGAGTGAGACTCTGTCTCAAAATAAATAAATAAATAAAAAAAATTGATCCTCTTATTATTCTGTCACATCTTCCATGTCATTTGTCATTAAATATTTATTTTTATTTTTTATTGTCTATTTCTCCCACTATACCATAAGCTATTTAGACATTATAACTGTTTTGTTTATCATTGTAAGCCTAGCACCTAGCATAATATCTAGCACATTGCAAATGTTCAATAAATATTTTTTAATAAATATATTAATCTGCAATGGGGTTTGTGAAAATGACATAAGACAATACACCTGAAGCTCTTAGCAGTTTCTAGCACATAAAAGAGTTCAATAAATGTCAGTCATCATTCTTGGTATCATTACTAATATAACTAATATAAGTTAATAATTTATTATTATTAAGTTACATTCTCCTGAACTCATAGAATCTTCCCACAGACCTTCAGCACAACAAGACATGTGACAAAGACTAGCTCTCAAGACCTCACGATTCAAAGGGAAGGGGTGGGGGAGTTGGAGCAGGAAAGAGGAGTGGAATGGGGAAGAACTGAAATAATGACTGCAAATAATACAAACAAAAAACAAAATTCACCAAAGTTAAATTAATCTCAAATGCTGGCTATTAATTACATTATCACTCAGTGGAATGGGACAAGACGGAGAAAGCTTAATCAGGAAGAAGGAAGTACTTCCAAGGAATAGAGTCATGGAGGCTTTAAAGAAAAGAGAAAGAAGAGGGTTACTGTCATGTCCACGTAATATGGCCTAAAGCTCACTGGAAATCTTGCCGGGCAGGTAAAAGAGTACCTCCCTTATCAAGATGATGAAGAATAAAAATGTGTGCTCACTTCAGCAGCACATATACTAAAAATTGGAACAATACAGAGAAGATTAGCACAGCCCCTGCGCAAGGATGACATGCAGATTCCTGAAGCGGTCCATAACAAAATAAATAAATAAAACAAAATAAAAGGCTTACTTTTTTTTGAAACTTGAAAGATGTCCAAGGTCCTTCAGAGGGAGAGAAGAAATAATCAGTGAAGTCAGGGCAGGTAGAGAAACACATCTAGGGTGTCCAAAATCAGCAAGAAAATGAGGGGGCATGTCACGGAAGGGAACGCTGATCCATCTAGAGCAAGAAATCTACCAGAGTCTACTGAGTCCGGATTGCACTGGGGAGGATCACAGCTGAACAAAAACTAGAAACATGTGTATGGATATCTACGAGGCAAGTAAGAGAAGAGCTTTACAAGCAAAACTAAATTTAAATTTCACTCTATTCCAGCTAATAAAATATAGACTTCCTGATTCTTACATTTCCTTGCATCTTTTTTTTTTTTTTTTTTTTTTGAGACAGAGTCTCGCTTGTTGCCCAGGCTATAGTGAGTGCCGTGGCGTCAGCTTAGCTCACAGCAACCTCAAACCCTGGGCTCAAGTAATCCTTCTGCCTCAGCTCCCAAGTAGCTGGGATACAGGCATGTGCCACCATGCCGGTAATTTTTTATATTATATTAGGTTGGCCAATTAATTTGTTTCTATTTTTAGTAGAGACGGGGTCTTCATCGTGCTCAGGCTGGTTTGAACTCCTGACCTCGGAGCAATCCGGCCCGCCCTCGCCTCCCAGAGTGCTAGGATTACAAGGAGTGAGGCCACAAGCCGGCTCCTTGCATCTTTTAAACCTTCTCTGTATTTATTTTCAATGGCACACTCTCTTCTCTTGGCCTCTGCGACTCTACATTCCTGTTTTCCTCCTTTTGCTCCTTTTTTTCTAGCTGCTTCTCAGTCTCCATGTGAACCTCTTCCTCCTCTGCAGGACCAGTGAAGGCTGGAGCTAAGGCTCAGACGTGGGTCCCTTTCACTTCTCCATCTATGTGTCCCCCTTATCTGATGTCAACCATTCCCATTTCTATAAGCTAACAGTTCCCAAACTTATACCTTTAGCCCTGGCCTCCTGGCTTACATCACTAACTGCCTACTTGGCATCTCCACTTGTATGTCCCATCAAAGTTGTTTTTTAAAAAAAAAAGTCAAAACTCTTAATTTTTTCTCTCCAAGCCTTTTCTTCTACTACTCTTTTTCACATCAGTAAATGTCACCATTGTTATGGGACATTCTTGATCGGATCCCCTTTACAGGCCTGAAGACCACCCAGTACTCACCATGTAATTAATCATTTTCTTTTCTTGTGAGAAACAAATGGGTTTAACCAATGATAACTAACCCATTGTTCTGAAGGTAAATATTAATACATTAAGACCTGAATGCCTCATTCCCAAAGATACATTATGCATTTTGTAAGCAGGGAAAAAAACGTGCAATGCTTAAGAAATTCCTATCAAAAAAATATTTTTTTTTGTCCAGAAAGTAAGTTTGTTCTTTATTATTTTTATTGGAGAATGGAAGAAACTGTAGACCCATTAAACTGCTTTGATTGAGGTAAGAAGGCTGTAATTAGCTGTCCTAGGAAGGTAATGAAAGGGAATAAAAATCCTCTCCCTTTTTCAGCAGCCCCAGTCACACCCACTGGGCAGTCACAGTCCTTTGTCATGGCCTACATTCAAGACCTTTACTCACATCTCCACCTCTTCCTTCACAGCATTCCAGCCACACCATTCTTCATCCAGCTCCTAGAGTAATCCAAAAGGTCCTTCCTGCTTCTGCGCCTTTGCACTTTCAGTTTCTTCTGGAACATCATCTGCACACATGCACATATGCACACACGCACACACGCACACATGCACACACGCACACACGCACACACGCACGGAAGCTGGCTAATCCTTATTCATCCTTCAGGACCCAGTTTCTACATCACTTCTCCAGAGAAGCCTTCCCTAACATACTCACCCTCACCCCCAGCTAGGTCAGTTCTCTCTGTGACATGGTCTCATAGCTCCCTGTATTTTTCTAATCATTTATAACAATTGTAATTTTATAAGCATTTATGTAATTGTATATACATATATTATACATGTCTATATATCTATCTCCACTGGACCCTAAGTCCTAAGAGAATAAGGACAGTGTCCCCAGAACCTCACCTGGTATCCTAATCTATCAAAGCAGACACTCACTAAATACTTGCTGAATACACATGAACAAACAATAGATAGGAGGTAATTTTAGTGGATAGGGGTGGTGGATAGAAGTTTTAAAGACTTGAAAGAACCGGAGTGCAGAAAGAATGAACTAAGATTGTTAGAATGCAACCAACATTGGGGAATGTTGAGAACCTAGTAGGGGTTCCTTCCACACAGAAGGGACAGGTCTTCAAAGGAATCAAGCCAGGATGACAAACCCCAAACTTCCTCATCACAATAACCTGATCTGCCCCTGAAATCTCAAATTTGAAATTACCTCTCTCCCTCTTTCTTCCACTCCCCCTATACCCACTCGTGTTTCTTCCCCTCGCCCCTATCTGACTACCTTTAATTCCTTGTTCACAGATGAATAAAGCCATTATTAATACTCTATGTACCCTCTTCCTTAGCTTTCAGCTCTGCTGGGCCAATATCCAGTCCAAAGTATTCCCTACCCCCATCCTGATTTCGCTAACCTGTAAAGCCCATAAGAGGAAATCACGAACCATGCAGCACACCACAAGTCCATTCAATTTCTCTTTGGGCCTTTGTTCCATTCAATGATAGTTTTACTCCTCCAGGTATTCCACACTTTCTCCACACTTTACATATTCTCGATCCTACCACCCTATCACCTATCCAGTGGTTCCTAACCCCTTGGCTGCTCATTTGAATCACCTGGGGATTTTTAAACTACCAAAGTCAGGGCCAACCTTCAGAGATACTGATTTAATTGGTCTAGGGTGGGACTCAGGCAACACTATTTTTAGCTACCCAGGTGATTCTAGTGTACCATTCCCTCCCATACACCCTCAATTCCTTTGTCCCTCAACTTTGTGTTGTACCCAAAAGGCCAAAAAATAATATTAAATAGTAATAATAAAAGTCAATAATTTTTAAATCCAACTCTTTGAGTCGTTCATGCCTGAGTTTGTACAACTAAAGGTCGCTGGAGGAAAGCACATAACCTCGCTGATTATTCCCATTTAAATTTATGATCCTTAACCTCAATGCTGCCAGTAAATTATACTTTATTGCCCTAGTTCATTCTGTCACTTTCCTAGACAACTAGAAGATGAAAGCAGGGAAATAATAGGGAGCATGAATCTTCCAATACTTCCACA